CCAAGACACCGAACACCAAATCCTTCCTGAGGCATACGCCTGTCACGTGACCCCAACCATCTATTCAAACCCAACGCAAGTGGGACCGACGACATCTTACATGGATACCAATCCCACGATTTCAAAGCGGTGCCGTAACTACATACTCACGGGATTTGAGATGATGTTGATTGTTGATGTTGAACCAATAGTTGATTTGATTTTTTGGATCATTTACTAAATGCCCCCTAGAATTACCAGAATTTACCTTATAATCTTTCGTTTTTTAAAGGGATTATAGCCTAACCTCAATAAAAATAATACTTTTAATATAATTTTTAGAATATGTTAATTTTTTTAAAAATATATCAAATAAGGACAAAAACAATGTTCATTTTCTTCCTCTTCCAAATCACTTCCGCCCTAGCACAGCCCTTCAAACCTCAATGACCACCATCCTCCAGTGCCGCCTCTAACAACGCCTGCACCCATCTCTGGCAACGCTATCGGCCACCTTATGTTGTCTTATTGGCATTGCCAAAGGTGGGCAGTGGCAGCGGTGACGTTGGTGAATGGTAGTCATTGATATTTGCAAGGTTGGGGCGGAGGTGGAGGCGGCACCAACGATGCTGGTGGATGGTATTCATTGAGATTCGTAGGGTTGGGGTGGATGGTATTAATTTATGTTTTTTTAATTTGATTTAAGATATTAAATGAGATTTTATTAGTAAACAATAACCCACTTTATTTGGTATTTATTATTTATCTAATAAATCTATTTTGAGTTATTTATTTTTAAAAGTTAAATTAGGTTGCTTCATAAAAGTTAAATCAAGTTTGTAATTAATAAAGTATTTTCTTTTTGAAAAAAAAAAATCATTTAAAACAAATGTGGGTTTATGGTAATCTTTTAATGGGTTCCACCCAAAGTTCAAAGTATCGAGACAGGTTGATATGTCGTTAGGGTGTATCGACCTGTATCGGTATGTTGTTTCTAGGTTTTATTTTTTTATTTTTTTAAACCAGTTCAGAGGGGTCGGTTTAAGGCCCGACTACCCTCTGAACTAGTGTTTGACTCGATACAACCCCTGGAAGGGCGTATCGGGAAGCCATCGGCACGATACATATCGGTCGATACGGGCCGATACGTATCAATACTCCAAACCTTCGTCCCACCATTTGTATTTAATAGACTAGATAAACATGTGTTAAGCTAATAAGTAATTATTATTGAGAATGTTTAGGAGTGAAACTACCCACTTTATGAATCCTATTTCTTGAATTAATAGGATGTCATGTGTATAAATGGTGGTGAAAATTTTCAGAATTTATCACATGTCTAGCTTTTTATAAAATGAGAAAACCACTTATCTAAATAGTGACAGTGGATTATGGGCTTTAATAGCAACTTCTCCGAAAATATCTTATATCTAATTACAGAATGTAACACGATAGGGGACTGTATTCTAAAGACCTTACATTAATATATATTATATTATCTTCAAGAGACATCGTTGCAGTGTCAACAGGTCCCGTCAGTATGGGCGTGCCCCAACCCGAATCAGACCCGAACCCCAAGAAGTACACGATTTGCTGATCTAGTGGCGTAGGCTCCTGAAGCAGCCAGCCAGTAGTAGTACACGATTCGCTGCTCTGGTACGTGTTGGGAGCAGGAGAGCAGAAGAGAGACGTAGGAGACAGCAACAGATCCAGACAGAGAGAAGAAAAACGCTACTGCTACTACTAACTCTACAAGGACAGAGGACTGAAGGAGTAGTGGGTGGGGTTGGGTAGTGGGTAGGTTAGTGTTGGTTGTATAACGATATATCGCTGTCAGGTGAATATCGTCGTTTGGGACTTTGGGTGGGGGAGGTGGTGGGGGAGGTGTGGCCTTCTTGGCCTGATAGAGTCTGAACCCACTCTCTCTGCCAATAATTGAATTAATGGCATTGATTTATGTCGTTGCTTCTGCTCCTGCAACTGCAACTGCAACTCATCTGCTCGAGCTTTTTTTGCTGTCTGCGTCGTCTTCCTTTAAAATAGATGCAATGCAGCACAGGTATTAGAAGAAACGTATACCAGAGAGAGAGAGAGAAGTTGTGTACGATAATCGTGCTTTATGTGTACGAAGAAAAGCTCGCTCTTCTAAGAAGGTTATTCTCGTCATTTTGGCTCCTCTCTGGTCGCTGTCTACTACGTACACATACATACGGTACTCTATGCTCTCTCTCTAAACCCCTCTCTGGTTCTTCTGGGTTTTTCGTTCGTACGTGATAGCGCCTCTCTCTCTTTATTACTTCAATATCCACCTGCACTCCTTTCTTTTTTTTCTAGTGAGATTGCCCCCACCCAAATCCCTATGTCTGGTGTTATATTTGCATCCCAGGCTTCCCCACACAAAGTGGGTCTCTGTCCTACTCGTTTCACCTACTTTAAAAGATTATATTTACGGTATTGAGTGATTTGCAGAAGATTATATTTGAAGAGTTGTACAGAAAGAATTTAAATTTGAATGGAGACATACACACCCAGAACCTCTAATGAATGTCATATTGGTTTTGTCCTTAATACACTTCCTGAACCCACAAGTCACCCTGGTCAGCTAGCCAGGATCGTCGGCACACAGAACACTGGCCACAGCCCATCGTACAGTCCTGGGTCTCGTCTGGGATCACCGACCAAGGTAGTTGGGTGGTGTGGATCCCTCATAACTTACGAGGTGTTCCCTGTTTCATATGGAAAGCGTAAGGTAAGGCCCATCATTAACAATTTAACATTAGATGAGTTCTAAGTTCTAACACAAATTGAAGAAACTTTTCAGATATGGTTTACAGTTTACTGACATGTGGCTGGCTGCCCAAGAGTTGTATGTAACAGAGATTTCTCTGTGTACACCATGCACTACTCTGACAGCAAAAACAGAGGGTTGGCCTCACGTTTCAGGCTAATTTACCAGCCACCGAAACACCAAGGTTTGCACTTTTCAGGGTCCTTAGCCCTAACGCCTTACGGGTCATTTTGTCGAGGATCATTTGGCCCCGTCAACATCCAAAATGACTGATTTGTTTTCTCTCTGCTCGTCCTTTTCTATTTGCTATTGGTGCGATGTTGAATCGAGATCGAGAGAGAGAGAGAAAAAAAAACTTCGGCTGTTCACGTCCGATGGTCTGTACTGCCCTGCCCACACAGGCTCCCTCCATGTGACACCATAGTTCCCACAGCCATGCCTTCGCTCTTGTAACCGTTGCATTGCATGAAGGAGTTGGGATCTCCTACCAACAGAACACGTTCCAACCATTTACTAATTTCATCTAACACCATACATCTCACCATGAGACCCGCCCTGAAATGTGATGTGTGGACCGTGCGGTGTCAGATCATGTTTGTAGGGGTTGGAACGTGTTATGTTGATAGGAGATTAATTCGGACTGCATGAAGAACTGACGTGTCTACGTTTGACAGCCTGAGCTCTATACACAGGCATCTCTCCTGTCCTGTGTGCACATTAGTTCACTGTTCGTATAAGACTCAACGCAGTAATAATGGTGATGGCATGGCTTTGTGGCTTAGTGTCACGGGGAGAGAGCCTGTGCTTGTAGACTGAGCCTGTCGGGTTTGGTATTCCCTATTTATTTATTTGGGTCGGGTCGGACTTGGGTTAAAGCAAATTCATACCAAATCTGACCCGTTGACAATTTGACATCACATCTTATTCAATATTTTAAAAACCAATTCAGAAACGAAACGGTTTTGGCCATCGGTTTCTGGGTCAGTGATTTAACTGTCCGGATCAAACGGTTTAAACACTTTAACAGATATATCATCTTACCACTTAGATTGAAATGATAAAATGCATCTAAATATCATGAGAAATAATTTGAGATGAGAGTGTGATTTGTGAAGTCGGCTGAGAGAATTTAGAAGAGAAAGAAGACAGAAGAAGAAGAAAAAAGTCACTTGCAGCAGCGACAGCGACAGCGATGGCGGTAACGAATAACAGCGGCAACGGTGGCGGCGACCTACAGCAGCGATGGCGGCAATGAAAATAGATCTGAAATTTCTCTTAGAAGTCTCTCTCTCAGATCTCTCATCTAGATTGCTCTCCCAAATCTCTAAACCTGAGATCTCTCAAATCTCTTTCACATATCTCTCATCTGATCTCTCTCTAATAGATCTCAGATCTGAGAGATCTTCTCTTTTCATTCTTGTTGTCATAAGTAATAAACCACGAACTATTTCCCAGGTCAAACGATTCAACAGTCAAATTGTTCAGGTCAACGGTTTGTTGACCAATTCAACAATTTTTTACTAAGGACCAGGTTTGGGATAAAGTGGAACCGGTCACTTAAACGGTTTCCGGTCTAATCGGTCCGACTGTCTGGGTCATCGACAGTTCTATTCCATATTTTGTCTTCAAATGTTGCTTTCAATTAAACAGCTAATAAATATGCATGCTTTTAAGCTTTAAGCAAATTCAACTTCTTGAAATCATGAATCCAAAATCATAAATTAATATGCATAAACAGACCCATAAAAATAGTTACAAATTAATAAATATAAAAAATAAATTATTACATTATCTATACACGAACCATTATTGTTGACCATTGAAAATAAATGTAAAATAATTAATAAATAAAAAATAAAATTAATCAATTGAAACAAAAATGTTAACTCATTTTATCTTAATATGCCAGCTAATGACACTATATGGCATTTTATAAATAATTAAATGTATATATATCCAATAACATATTATTTATTTTAAACGCAATGATTAATTAGTAATTGCAAAAAAGAATATTAATTCAATGAAAAATGTAGAAGATCCTAGGCGCAAATAGCAGGCAATTCATATTTTTAATTACTAAATAACTATTCTATATTTTTTTATTCACGTTTTATTAACCATCCTAGAAGAGTTAATTTTGATATTTCATATAAATGAAGGGGTTCGCGCAGCAAGTACAAGAGTCAACAAAATCTTTTAAAAATATGAGATTGGAAGCGAAAGATCAGAGTGGATCGATCAAGAGAAAGATGAATTGGCAAATACAAAACTGCCACAGCATTTTTCCCAATAAACAAAAAATAAGAATACTGTACAGTAAATTAGCATACATCAATTCTAATTCTCTTTTCTCACTTGCCTATTTTACCTTTCCTTTTCCTTTTCTTTTGCCCTTTAAACACAATTATCTACATGACTAATACTTCGATACCGTATGTTTTCAACCAAACCCAAAACCCTCGTTAGCTTCATGAATCGCAAGGAGCAGCTTCTCCTCCAGATGTTGTTTAGATGGATACTCTGGTAGATCCAATTGATTGAAGCTGCAATTTTCATAGAACAAGAGATGTATGAGAGAGAGATAGAGAGAGAACCAAGAATAATATATGCAAAAAAGGTACCATGTATGAGCAGAAGGCAAGTGATCAGGAGTCCCATAAGCTTTATGAATCTGAAATCTCTGTGAACCTGAAATTCCTTGCAATGCACTGAAACCTTCCAAAGGTACCTGCAGGGATAGGTGAGAGGAGCATGTCAAGACAACAAGTTTCAAGGTCGCCATAGAAGTCTTCCTCTGTAGTCTTCTTGAATTTTATGCCTTGATTTCTATTTTATATGCTATCACCCAATCATGGGCCATCACATATATGTAAAGCAAATCCATGTATTGAATAAAATAAAAGCATAATCCTTTAAATAATTGAATATAAAGACAAAAAAATAAAGTTCTAAAATGTCTTTGTGGTTGTCAATTGTTTTGTCATCCTAGTCAACACATAGTCAACTGAATAGTGATGTGGTCAGCTTGGCCCTCAAGTAGTTGGCGACTAGTTGGCACTGATAAAACTGCATGCCTACGGGAAACAAGTTCTGATGTGAATAGAGGAATTTCTTTTTGAAGAGATTCTCAAGTTGTTGGCTCAATGCAATCCCATTCAGAATCAACAGCTTGTTCAGATGGATTCCAATAAATAACAACAATAACAATCACGGATAATCTTTTGCTATGTATCAATTATGAGTTAATCGTTCAAATTTCTTCAGTTTCAAAAGGTCAATAGATAAAAAATGCAGAGGTCAATGACAAAAAAGGTACCTTTGAGGTGCCGGTCACAAATTGCAAGAGACGAGCTTTATCCTCCTTGCTGAAACCTTGCACAACCTCCCAAAACCACTGAATAACAGGAGATGCAGCACTGTATCCAGAATACTCGGTATTCGCCCTCAAGTCATCCACTGGAAGAGAATTATGTATGAAATTTAGTTAAAAGATGGTTTCATTTTAATGTCATCAAAAAAATAACTCAGGTAACTCACAGTCAATATCCGGAAGCCCGCTTATCAATAGCTCCAGTTCTTTATCATTGAAGATAGATACCAAATCCCGAGGAATCAACTCAGTGAAACCTTCTAAAAATGCATTTATTTGAGGACGAATAGCAGTGGTTAACCGATGTTCAGCAACAAGATCAACGTATTCATGCTTATTTTCCTCGGTGACTCTAATGTTCCGGCCACCGGGGATCAGCTCATAGTCAGTTACCTGAATTTCATACCAATTATAAGTTTGACCAATAAAGTATCTTATTCCTAGTTTATATAATGGAAAAATGACAAGAATTATAATTACCTCTGCCCTTTCATACAATATCAACTTCTCTTCATCAGCATCAATGCTAAAAGTAAGGTCCAAAATGTCACTTATGTCATTCTGCAAAGGACAAATAATAAATTGAGAATGATATTTGACAGACAATCCCCCCCCCCCCTCTCTCTCTCTCTCTTTCTCTCTCTGGCAACATACCTCAAGCATCCACTTCAGATTTTTGAAGTAAGCAGGATCTATAGCCTCTATATCATGATAGCTGACTTTAACCCCCAAGATATGCTTGTAGAAAGACCGAGTGAAATGAACATCCAGAAGCTGTCCATCAAACAGTGCTTTTCCAACCTTAAGGAAAAGAAATGGATTAAGTAAATTGTAAGCATGTCATCAAGCATTCAAAACAATTAGAAATAGCGAAGGCACATACCAGCCGTCCAACAAATTTGAAGTATGACAGATGTTCTGTTTGGTAAACAGAGTTTGGATTTGGTTGAAATGTTGATTCATTGCCCACTGTTGTGAAAAGCAGTGCCCCCTTGTCAAATATAACCCTAGACAACAACTGATACCATTCTCTTGTAAGTCCACCAGCATCAATTCCTTCCTCCCCTTGGAAGTGAACAGTCAATCTTCCCTTCAGATCATGAGTTGAACGCATGCGCAATTGGTTATAGGAATCTTCAAGAATATATGCTCTTCGCACTGAAATTCTCAGAGGACTATGATGATGATCATGTTGGTGCTTTATTTTTGAGCGGAAGTGAGCACACTTGTTATCAAAATCAATAAACCGTGGAACCTTAAGCATCAGAGAGAATGACTTCTCAAGCAACCCTGGGTTTTGCCTGATGAAGGCATTTAAGAGTTTCCTGTGCTTTTCTGAGAACTTCACAAAAGCAATTTGTTTCTCATCAACTTTTGTAAGGGAACCTGAAGTCTTCTGTTGGCCAACAGTAGTTGCATCTTCAATATCAGTTGCAACTATGCTGAAGTCTTGACCTGTGCCTGACTGCCCAGGGTGTAACTTCTCACATGTCACAAAGAAAGATTCTATGTATGGTAAAATGTTCTGGGTACCTGCTGGAAGTGGAGGCATTACACTTGGGGTTGATGTTAAATTTCGAGATTCAGTGAAGTCAAGTGCAGAATCAGAGTAACTTTCGATTTTGCTTATGCAAGTGCTCAATTCCTGCCACAAGGGTTCCAAAGCAGTATTTATCGCTAACACCTGAGAAAACGCATCTTCATTCTCTCTTTCAGGTGCGAGTTGGTGATCTTTCTCTTTCTCATTCAATGAGGCAACTAGGGAGCTTAATGCCTGCAAAACCCTCAGGATTGCAGTTCCATCAGTAGAGTTCGTACTCATGAATGCTTTATCTGCTTCTCCAAATATGTGCAGCTCATCCATTGCAGATCTGGTCAATTTTTTAACAGAATCTGCTAACTTGGTAATAAATAGATGGCAATGAGTTGGAGTAATAGCCACCAACTTTTTCAGTACCTCAGCCACAAGAACATAAGCTTTGTCAGACAAGCTGCAGATTGAAAAATGGGGACAAAAACTAAGATAAGAAACAGCAATGGAAAATAATTAAGTTGCAAAGTTAAAAATAGATATCCTCGAAAGAATAATAAGGATGTAGATCACCAATGAAAATCAAGAAATAATAGTAGATTAATATATCTGTTACAGGTGCCTATCTGAGTAATATATGAAGTTATAACAACTATTGGGGGATTAAACTTGTGAGCCACAATATGAAACTTTGGGAGAGAATAATTGAGCAACGATTACAACATGAAACAAGTATATCAGAGAACTCATTTGGATTTATGCCAAAGAGATCAACCATGGAAGCCATCTTTCCTTTGCTATTATTGATAGAAAGGGGTTCTAAATAGGTATATAAACCTAAGTAAGAATATGTACAAGGGTGCAACAACCACTGTTAGAACATCTACGGGAGACACATCAGGTTTTACAGTTGCAACGGGTCTTCATCAATGTCCAGCACTTAGCCCTTATTTATTTGCACTGATCATAGATGAATTGATTATAACAAATTCAGGAGGTCCAATGGTGTATGTTGTTTGTTGATCACATTGCTTTAATTGGTGAAATTAATGAAGGATTCGATGCAAAATTAAGCTTATAGACAAATGCCTTAGAATCAAGAGGTTTTAAAATAACCAGGACTAAACCAAAATGTATGATATGTAAATTTAATAATAATAGAAGTGAAAATCTTGGAGACCAAGAGATAACTCAATGTGACCCTTTCTAGTACCTTGGTTCAATACTTCGATAATTCATAATAAGGGACAAATTGAGGAGGGTGCTGCCCACAGAATGAGAGCAGGATGGGCAAACTGGAGGGGGTGCATCCGGAGCTTTATCTAATAGGTGAAAGACAACTAGATTAAAAGGAAATATCTGTAAAACAGTTGCAAGGCCAGCTATGCTGTATGGAGAAAAGTGTTGAGAAGTCAAGAAACAATATGTCCAAAAAATAGGTGTGGCACAAATGCATATGCTGAGATTGATGAGTGGAAAGACTAGAAGGGATAGAATAAAAAATGAAGTCATTTGAAAGAAACTTGGAGTAGCTCCAATAGGTGATAAAATGAGAGAAAGTAGCCTAAGATGGTTTGCACACATGCATAGAGGACCACCAACATCACCTTACGAAGAAGTAATTTATGTAGCCAATCCCATATAGTTGGGATAAGGTTTGGATGATGATGACGAGGTGCCTACCTAGGGAGTGCAATACAGAGGGGGCAGCAAGAGATTGAAGAATGTGTATTCAGTTTAAAATATTACAAATAAGAACCCCTTGAAAAATGAAGACAAGCCATGCAATACAGCACATACACAAAGAATGAAAACGCCAATAACATCAAACAATGCAACTAACACGCAAAGGCAGCTTAAGAATAGATACATGTTATCCAAAGTTTTGGCATGGTGAGACTAAGATGGAGAAACATTGACCAAAAAACAAAAGCTAGAATTGGGAAGTTATTACTATCCCTCCCAAAGGCTCCCTTATTCTCACTTTTCAGGGGAAGGGAGGCCAGTTCACCTCATGGTTTTTGAGTTTCATATGCCCTTTACTTCCATTTCTTTCTTCAATCTATTGTATTGGTTCAAATGTCCAATACTAAGAATGCAACATATTGTTGTCAGTGCACAAAAGATCATAATAATCACAGAAGAAATCAACTGGAACTAAATAATGGATGGGGTATATTTTCTGCATTCTTGATTCTGCTACATGTCAGAATGTGCCAAGCCATGCTAAAAAAAATTAATAACAGGACCTTGACAGTATTTCTCTGTTTCCTCAGACAACAAACTGACTAGTACTGTCCTTCATGTTCAGAAGATAGTAGTCAACCAATGGGTCATCAGGCATTACCAAAGCAACCCAAAATCAGTAAAATTCAAACCTCCCTAACCCACCCACCCCTCCCAGGAAAGAATAAAAGAATATCTGGTTGGCTTTATGCAATAATTACAGAAGTATGTAGGCAGTCACAAAATAAGCAGTTTATCAAATTCAGTTACTGATTATGGTTAGAAATAAATAAAATAAATAAAAAAACAACCAACCAACCAAACACTAAAGATTGGTAATAAATAAAATAGCAACTTAATGAGGAATTTCAGTTCCCTCTATCTTACCCCTCGCGTGCAAGCAGAGAACATAAAAGTCGAAGTTCTGCTTGTGGCAGTTTCACTAGTACAGCTTGAGAACCAAATTCATTATTTACACCAGAAGATGCTGGTTTAGAGCATTCAACAGTATTGGATGATTTAACATCTCCGGTAGAAGAAGACCCACCAGCTGCAGTATTTGTTTCAGCATCTGGAATGGCAGTCTGAGGACCAGATTGTTGTTTGGAAGAGGATAATGCAGGTTTACTGGATAAGCTAGAAGTGCTTTCAGCATTATCAATAATAACCTCTAATAGACTTAACAACTGGAGCAGGAAACAAAAAACAACACCAGCAAATTAGTTAGTATTTCAACAGCAATTTCATTAAGTGACTCAAGTTCTAATCTAGATTCTAGAACTAGAAGTAATACCTGTTCAAGATGAGCTATACTCCTCAGATAGAGTGGCTGATTCAACAGACTCAAAAGCAATACAATAGAATAATCCCCTCCCTGCTGTGTCTTTCTTTCAAATTCCTCATCAATAATCATAACAGCCTTTCCACGATCCTGATCAGAACTTGTCAACTTTTGTATGGATGGCCGTGCAAGCTCAAACTGAAGCAAAAGCTTTGCCACATAGGGATGGTTCTGAGCCAAGTATGTCAAGGTTTCTAGAATACGCCGGGACACAAGAGGAGGAACTCCTATAAAGTAAGAGATACAGCAAGCTAGTAAGCATCTCATATATTGTCAACAACTGTTCCCAAACATTAAAATCCAATCAAGAAAAAAAAAGCCCCTCCAGTTTATACATGAACAAATTTGTCCAAGTTTTATCCATGTAGTAGAACCTTTCTAATAACCATACATATGACAAATAGTTGGTGTCTCTTTTATCTGTCTTAGGTGTCATTCTTGTCTATGTAAAGACCGAAAAAGTATTGAGAATTGTGATCATTATCATAGATTATAAAATGTTCATTATCATAAGACACAAGAACTGATATCAAGCTTATTAGATTATAAAATGTTCATTAGCACTTGAAGCCACATGAAAGGTTGAAATAAACCTTACCATCCAAAAACTGAGGACGAGAGTACATGACATAATTCTGACAAGCATACAGTCGATATGATGTTTCTGGAACACTATTTAAATTATTGACTGGCTTCTGAGAGTCCAGCATAAGAATGTCCATCAAGAGTTGCACCATAGTGGTTCTAGTTTCATGGTGAGAACATAGGTTCAGGAGAAGCCTCTGTAGTTGGCCCTTATAGAGTGGCTGGAAAAGCATAATCATCAATATGTTGGTTATATAGAAGCACATACTAAAAGGCTATTTTCACTTTCCAATTAAGTACCTGAACCACACGAAGCAGTCGAATCATGGCTTTAAGAGCTTCTTTATCTACCAGAGGAGCCCCATCTGCTTCTAGTAACTTACCTCCAACAGATCTGCGTGATGCAACTCCAATACCAGATCTGTCCAAGGTGGATCCAACAGCTTCACCCTGTCTAGAAGATTCACCTCTCCGGCTCCTTGGATACATGCCGAATAGTGTACGACTGTGATAACGATGTGAAAGTCTTTCACGTAGCATGTTTGCTTCCGCAATAAGAGCAGGTGATAAGTGGGCTAGAATAGAATCAGAAGATGTTAAAAGTACCTGACAATGAAAAACATTTAACATCTATGAAGTTGAAAAAAAGAGCTTTCTAAAAGACCAAAATAACAAGTCATAGTAAATTGGCAACCTCCTCACGTAAATCCGAGGGGAATGTAGCAATTATTGAGACAGCATCCATTTCAACAGGTTGGCCTTCCAGTTCCTGTGATTGATGAAGTCTTTGAGCTTGTTGTTGTGCTAGAACTTCTGCACGGATATCTGGGGGAAGAGCTGCAAGGAATTCAGGATCAATATCTCCAACAGATTGAGGTTCAGAATTTGAAGGTTGTACAGCTTGACCCTGTTGAGCTGAGAGAACTTCAGCACGCAAATCCTCAGGAAGAGCATCCAAGAATGCAGGATCAATTGCTCCTGAATCAGATGCCACATTGACTTGCTGCTCCTCATCTGGACTACTCTGATCTTCTCCTTGGCTGGGATTTTCTGAGACTTCACTAACACTCTGAAGAGATGCATCTCTATTACTAACTACCATGGTATTTCCTGATGACATATTTGTTCTTCTCGTTCGAGTTGGCTGCAGATCACCTAAAGGTAACCTATCAGTGGAAGTTTGCCTTTCACCTCCATCATCATGACCATCAGCACTTCCAATTTCAACCTCCAGACAACGTAGGCTTTCCCCTAAGGTTGCTCCACTTCCACCACTTTCCTGGCTCACTGCTTCAACATCCCTTATGACTGCATCACTGTGTTCATACTGTATGTCAACAACTTGAGATTGAGTAACTGATGCCTCTGTTACTTGGAAACTGTCAGTCACTGGTCTGACATCAGCATTGCCACTGCCATTTGTAGCAACAGGAGCAATAGAAATGCTTCCATTGTTTACATTGCTTTCTAAAGGTGTTTCAAGCCTTACTCCTGATTCTTGTAACTGACTGGCCTCCCCTTTACCTTGAGGTTCTGCTGTAGTTGTATGTTGATCAGAAGGTTTCTCAGGGATTGGTCGTCTCAGCCGAGAAACAAGTAACTCCTCAAGACCTTGGGGTATTGCAGATGCAGTTGATCCACTATGATGTTGGTTATCGTCTACCCACATATTGAAACGGTGTCCATGTCGTCCATTCCTCAATGACCGGAAAATTGTATCTAACTGTGATGAAGTATTCTCTAAGGTTCTCTCTGAGAAGAGGGCATCACCCACATTTTCTGGAAAATTTTTTATGCAAAATAATTAGAAATTAGGAGAAAATAATAGATATCAAAATGGAGAATAACACATCAATCCATCAAAAGTATTCACCTGATTGCCTGACAGGTGTTGGATGCAGTGTAGAAGCAGGTTCAATCAGGAGAGGATGCTGAGAAGGAACCCCATGGTCACTAGTCCTTCCTAAAAGATTGTAAATAGACGTTGTACGCCCATGCCGCCGAGAGCCAAAAACTTCAACAGGCATCACACGGAGGGTATCATTGGCAAAACTGTTTTCTCTACCGAAAACCTCAATATGGTCGAAAACATTTATTCCATTGATACCCTCCTCCAGCCTAAGAATAACTCCCTCCTCATCATCCTCATCATCTTCATCCTCTTCTTCTAACACATCTTCATCAAAATCATCCTCATCAATTTCATGATCATCCTGATCTGTATCAGGATGAGACATGTGATGAACTTCATCTTCCTCCAGATCATTATGTTCATCATCTTCATCTTCATCCTCATCTCCATCATCTCCAGACATCTCCTCATCCTCATCTTCATCAACAAGATTGTCTTGCACATTGTGAGGAATGTCAAACCTTATCCCCACCGATTCCAGACTATTTTCAAGAGTCCCAGCTTCCCCAGAAGTTTCATGCATAAAATCATCTTCAGTTCCAGGACCATCAAGATCACGGTCATGCTCCATATCATCCGTAACTGACTCTGAACTGCCAAGTGTTTGGGCTGATGTAAAAGGACCAACGTTGTTAGCAGCAACTTCAATGTGGTTGGGCTGGGACATGGTTTCCAATGATTGTAACTGATCATCACCATTATCTACTCTTCTGGCTGGGTTTTGATCAGATGGCTTCTGTGAGTGCTCACCCTTCCCAGAATTAAGACCAGCAGAGTTGACATGTTCCTTGGTTACTGACTCAAGAGCCTTGACAATTCCAGTAACAACCTTAGGTGCATCAGCATGATCCAGGTCCAAGACTCGAAGCATTCCAGTCATGGATTGGATTAGCCCAACATCTATAAAGGTTGCTGAGGCTTCTGCCAAAATACTTGAACCACTAGGAGATCGAGCAGCTAGAACATCATTGAGCAGATCGACAAAAGCATGAATATTGCTACTAGGTGGCCTAAAAGCATTAGATGAAACAACAAAGTCGTTGAAGACATTACTGATCTCAGTAAACACCCTTCTCCGCCCTTCAACAGAACGAATGCAAGCTGCCACCAAAAACTGGCTAGCCCTGGTGGCTAGTTTCTGCCTCCAGTCACTATCTGATTTTTTTTCCTTCCTGTAGCTACCAGCATTCGGAAGAAACTTGTGAAGAATGTGATGAAACATTCCATCACTATAGTTTCCAGTGGAAACTCTTTGAGGAGGGGCTCTGGAGCTACTAATCTCAGCATCTCTCTTAAGGAGAATATGTACAGATGAGGAATATGTCAAGTGTATCTCAGTCAACAGCTTTAAAATGAAAACAGTCTTTGCAAGAGATGCAGAAGCTTCCTGACTATTAGTTTCACTCTCTTCAGAAGCAGTAGCAATTGCTTTTCCTTTCCCTTTAGTCACAACATCATCAACGTCCATGTCGGTTAACGATGACCCCTCTATCACACCATCTTTTACAGGAGGCACAAAAGTCGTAATAGAATCCAAGAGAAGCTCAATAACATTTGTAAAACTGTGTGCTGTTTTTCTATGAGATTTGACATTCTTAGAATTTGAATCTGCAATTTTTCCATGCCCACTCCCAGGGGCCATTGGGCTCATATCACCTGTTGCATTCTTTCCATCAGCCATTTGTTGCTTTTCTTTCTCTGATGCTCTCTCTTTCTCCTTATCCTTGCCCTTGTCTTTGTCACGGTCTTTTAACAGGACAATGTATGGCCTTTCACCTACCATCTCAATTTGGCATACAGACTGAGCAGCTTGGACAAAAACCACTGGATCTCTAGAAATGACAGAAGCCAAAGTTTGAAGAAAGTTGCGTGGAGTAATTCTCCCATTGGAATGTCTATTGCTGGCAGCTACTAGGCTGTGGCGAATCTCAGACTCCATTGCTTGCTGTAGAGTTTGAGGATCTTCAAGAATATGGCGGATTATAGTAGCAGCAACAGTATCAAATCCAGAAAACAAAGAACCTGTTGGTAAAGACAACAATGAAGGTACACCTCCAGCATCAAGGAAATTCACTGCCATAGAGTGAGTTCTGGTAAGTGTAGCACAAAGCTGAAGAACAATGTGCATTGTATCAGAAGGAAGCTGGCTCTTGATACATCTACATGCGATGTCAATAAGCCGCTTCTGAGCATGTTCATCCATATAGTTTGGAGATCCTCCCAATGCAGACTGCAAGTTGTTTGGCTTCTCCTCATCAACCATAACAGAACTTTGTAGGCGACTGAGATTGTCCTTCAATTGCTCAGGAATCTCAGAACACAATTTTGGATCTACCTGCAACAGTCGATCAATTGCAAGAAAAGCTGCTGTCACCCACTTTGGCACATCAGATTTACCCCTATCATGTGAACTAGGGTCCCACTGAAAAAGCAAATCCAAAGCAACCTTTGCCAGCCCATTTTGGGAGGCAATTTCTCGAGCTATCACATCTTCATGAAGAATTAATGCAAGAACATGAAAAAGAGCAGATAGCAAAGCAGAATTTCCACTGTCAGAAACAGAAAAGCCAAGCTTCACATGGTCAATGATAAAGGAGATAACTTTGGGCCTGCATTGACCATCATTTTTGGAACATATCATCACAAGTAAGTCTCTAACTGGAAAGGCTAAAGGTTCCCTCATCTGCAGAAGCCTGGTACACGTTGCTAACAACTCCTCAACAGGAGGAAGCTGGATTGTTTCTTCTTGATCTATATTATTTGCATCAGCAGCAACATCTTCCTTTGTTGATGTGTCAGAATTCCCCAAGGACATAGCAAGTGCACGTGCCAGTTCATCATCTTCTTGGACATCCTCTGGATGTGAAAATAACCACTCCATTGCCATCTCCACACTATTTGTTCCTACTTGTCTTAAAGCTTCTTCTGCCCTAGACCTGGAAAAGCCCATCTCCACAATTGTTGAAATAGCTGATTCATTAGGAGGAGAACCAGTAATGCGAGCTCCAGAGTTTCCATTAACACTTTTCACCTCAACTCCAGAGTAAATGTGCCGCATGATAGAGATAATTGTTGTAACAAACTCACAATTGCAGTCAGAAAACTGAGGATGAGTCCAAACAGGAAGCACCGTTTTCAGTACCATGGACTGGAGGACCTTTACAAATGTCTCAGCATCTCGTGGAAGAGGAACATTCACAATCATGAGAGGTTGGGTAAGCAAATGCTTTGTAGAAGCAGATAAGATAAGGGATGATGTCACCAAATGGTCCATAAATGAACCATAGCTGGCCAAGGGGCCATATATCCATGAATCACCTGTTTCTTCCTTCATACCTTGTTTTAAATTCCCATCATCAGTATCCATTGGAGATGCTGGAGGTTTATTAACAGCAAAAAGCAATTGACTTGTAGCTTCAAAAGTGGTCAATACTGCTTGAAAAACCCCATGGCCATAAAAACAGTTGACCAAAATAGGGTTGCAGGAATCTGGCCTATCAAGCATAATACCATCAATGAACTCAATCACCTTGCCGAGATAGCGACATTTTGTTGATATAGACACTTCTGATCTACAAGAATCTGCATGCCCCTCAAAGTTCAAGTGCTCTAATACAATAGACGCAAAAGTTGAAACTACAGATTTTGAAGCAGGGGAAACAGTCGGTGAATCATCCCGTCGACGAGAAGGAAGCAACATTGCTTTTCCCAATTCCAGAAATAGATGGCTGATGTGGAAAGAAAGTGATCTTACCATATCACAGCAGGATGAATGATAGGATCTCTGGTTATCACCTTCCATTTTTCTAGCAGAATCTGAAGAACCAGTGCGCTGCAGTTGATGACCAGAACCAAGACGCAGACTAGATGGTCCATCCATACTAAATCTCTGCTGAACACCGGTAGCACGACCAAGATCACGGTACAGGCTTATAAGATCAAAAAACTGAGACTCAATACTCCACCCTGACATCCTTCTTCTCAGTAGTGGATCAAGAAATTGTCTAAATGAGTTAAATCTTTGGTCTTCAGTTTCATTTGAGTTCACATCTAATTTCTGTGAGTCAGTAGTAGAACCAGAACCGGCATCCTGTGTCTCGACTTTTGCATCTTCAAGCAAAGCAATTTGCCATAGAACCTCCTGGTGGACATGTCCAATATCTTCCAGGACATCCTTGCTTCCATTTCCAAATTCCGTAAGCAATGCATTTACCCAACGGTTATCCTTAGAAGCAGCAAGAAATAGAAGAAATTCAATAACAAAAAGTTCAGAAAAGATCCCCCCATCTGGTGAAATCCTGGGGTCCAACAAAAATGAACCAGAAACCAAACTAAATCCAGTTAAAGCCCTCTTCAGATGGTCCCTCAATGAAGAACAAAAGGCATGTGCCAGCACAGAAGAGTGACTCTGTGTGAAACCCTTAAAAACCACAGTGCTATGCAAAGCAATAGACATTCCTTCAGATGATTGAGCAACACTAGGTCGTAAAAGAAGTTTCATCAGAGCATCAATCCCCTTCTTTTCCACAAACAACCTACAAGTTTCAGAGTTTTCCATAGTTCTATGAACCAGTACCATCACATGAAAGATGCATAACTGAACAAATCGTTCATTAGTAATACCATCAGCAGCTGAATCCATTGCACTAACCAAACATGCATGCCCATCATGTTCTTTCTCTTCAGAATCAGTGTCCATTGCAGTAATCCCATCTTTGCTTGATGATCCTGGGAATATATCATCTCCTAATGAAGCAACTTTATTAATAATCTCAATTATTATATCAACACCAGTGCTTCTCAACGAAGAAACATGTCGCAGAAGCTCCTCTACAGCATTTGCCAGAGGCACAACACCTTCATTCATTGCTACCACATATTTCCTGGTGGTGAAAATGCGCACAAGGAACTGTAAAGCCATAGTTTCTTTCACTGCCTCTAGGCCTTTGGCATTAAGACAGATGGCACCAAGACCACTAGGAACACATGTAAGAGCTTTTGAAGAAGGAAGTACTCCAGTTACTACTGAAGATAAAAATGCCTCTGGAAGACCCAATTCATGCAAAGAATTGAAACAAGTTGGGTCCTTGTGGATAATTTCACTCATAACAGTCACTGCTGAGAAATATATATCACCTCCAAATCTCTCTACATTTCCAAATATCAATGACAAAGAGGCAGGCAATGAACTATCATGGGTGTTTTGAGACCTTGAAGAGTTTGCAGGAGCATAAGTAGCAGACCCAAGTGCCTTCAGTAAAGCCTTGATGAGCCGCTTCTGGGAGTACAACTGATCATCATCATATCTTGAGAGATCACAACTAACCATCGAATTGTCATCTGCACCACTCAGACCTATGACCCTATGCACTTCTGTTTGTAATCTCTGAGACAGGAGTTCCACACCACCAAGATCTTTGAACAGGGAAACAGCTGCATTACTGTAATCCATGAGCTTTTGTAGAGTTTTTACAGAACAACATACAAGRTGCATATGAGTAACATTTACATCCTGTAGCAGAGGTAAKAGTGTAGGAACCATCCCTGATCCTCTTATAGAATTCCCAGAACTTGAAGAAGATATAACATGAAGATGGTAGAACTGTAGAAGTGCTTCAACAAAAGAAAGAGATGAAGGATCATTGGAATTATTCAATGTCAAGACAGCTTTCTGGAGTACATTCAGAAGAATCATTCGACTCCCCCCGGCAGAAATGATGCTTGATCCACTCAATATCCTTGCTCGCTCATGAGATGATGAATATGCAGCTAATTGTGCCCCCAATGCAAGCATTGCAAGTGTTCTAATAGTTCCAGAAATAGATTCCTCAGACTGCACAATCCTGATTAACTCATTAGTATACTCTGGCTCATTTGAGAAAAAAGATACAAGTTCATCATGAGCATCATTGGACTGAACAAGCACAATGAATGCAAGAAGAGAAATCCTGCTGTACAGCCTGCAGGTTCTAGGAGAACGAAAAGCCCGGGCATATCTAATTCGAGTCAGCAAAGAGAACTTGTGTTTTGGAGGCACACCAAATTGATCAATACACTGTTTCAGAAGGAGCAAATCATCCTCCTTCCGCAGATGCAAATCTGGGATGTTTATTACTTGCATGTTCAAGGATTTTGTCCTGGAACTGCTTTCCTCAGCACTCCAGGCATTTACCCCATGAAATTCATAATATAGGGTTGAACCTAAACGATAGTGAGACTTGTCAGATTCATTGTCTGTGTCAGATGGGAATAAACTCAGTCCTTCATCTTGGATCCTCTCATTTTCCATAATACATGAATAAAGACCAAGGCCTTCTACTTTGCTTCCCCACCCCTGTGCTAGAGCCAAGAGATAGCTGTTTATTGAACCACATCCAATCAACTTCCCACTCATATGTAACTTTGAGGGATTAATTTTCACTAAAGCAGAAAGGGTCTCTAGTGTAGGTATTACAATCTCAGGATCTGTTGATGCAAGAAGGTGCTTGAAATGCTGACAAGAACGAAAATATATATAAACTAATATCAGACAAAACACAAAATCATATTTAACAAAAAAAAACAAAACAGCACTTGACTCTTGCAATAAATCTCTAAGAGCAAATGCCAAATGCAGTCACAAAGGACTCTATAGATAGCAGAAAAGAAAGACCACTTATTTGTCATTTTCCACCATACCTCAAGACCATCAAATGAACTCTTGTTATGGCAGTTCTCTAATATTATTTGCATCACTCTCAAAATTTGCAGGACTGCATGCTTTGGAAATGGACCATCTTCCTCTGAAATATTATCCAATAAGAGATCTTTCCTACAGGAGATATATGTCTTGAAATATGTATCAAAATGTAGAAAAAGTGGTCTCCAATGGTTAAAGTTTCCCTGAAAGCAACCTCACAAAAAAGTGAGAAAGGAATAAGAACAAAGGCAATTGATAAGCATGGTAACAGTGGTATGTCATCACCTTATTGTATTCCCAGTGAAATCCTGAAAGAGGTATAGCTATATCATGTAATGGACTGTTGATCACCTTGTCAATGAATGCTTTAATTTTAGGTGGCTGCAGTTAACCATACAGTAGTTAGTACTTAGTACTATCTCTTCATTTAATTAAAAACAGATTGAGCATTTTTTCAAAAGGTAAAAACAGATTGAGCATTTTTTCAATAGGTAAAAACAGATTGAGGAATAATTCTTAGAAAACAAAGCAACAAAGTTTGTTGAAAACACTCCAGGTAGTTTGTTGGCATATCTAAGTTATGAAAACACTCCAGGTACTACATAGCCATATACACATGCAAATCAACTAATGCAAGCAATGATACATTTTCAAACATTGCATATCAGAAACCTCAGTTCCGCTCAATGTGTTTAGATGGACAACAATTTCCCTATCCAAGTAATCTTGATTGTGACTCATATAGGGCTGTTTGGAGTTTAAAACACATCTAATTTTTCTGCTCAAATATTTTATATCCACGAGGCCAAAGGTATGTATCTTATCCCTCCAGACTAAGATATGAACTTAAAACTGCATCACCCTTGTATATTAAAAAAAAAAAAGATTCCATACATCCTACTCACTCAGCAAGTAGTAACAACAGAAGATTTTTTCCTGGACTTGAAATTGTTCAACATGATAAAGTTTCCATGTATCATGTAAGTAGGACCATTTTCCAATTACTGTTCCTACTATCTGGGGTCTTGACATGTAGACTGGCATGGACCTAATATCTGGATTTTTTTTCTTTTGCACAAAGTGGCCACTCTCAGACTCAAACCTGCATTCTTGTTAACCTGATAAAAATAGCCCCCTATTTCCATGCATCATGTAATGAAAAAAAAATGAAACACAATCATGGAATGTAGTAACTTCCAAGTTCCAACATATTTTTTTGATAAATATTGTATGACTATTACTATAGTAATGTAAAGAGGGTGAGAGGCCCACATAAAATGTATATCAATAAGAATTCCAACAATTTTAGTGCGTCCAGTTGAAGGTTTTAAAAAAATATTCTTGAAGCAAGGCATAGCTGATACATTCCACAATGCAAGCATGAAGGAAATGAAAAGACATATGAACATGGGCATAATTAGAGGTGGAAATTGGATGGGTTTGGGCGGGTTCGATTTGGGTTGAGCTTCAACCCACCCATCAACCTGGTGACCCGTTAATGACCCATTTAGAGAAAAATAAATGGGTACCCGTCTTGACCCAACCCAATCCATCCAACCCATTAATTTTTCAAGTCATTAAAACACAAAAGAAATTCAGAAATTATGGAAAATTAAATAAAATGCAAGGAAAATTTACAGGAAAACATAGCAAAATTTATAGAAAAACGTAGAAAAATGGAAAAAATGAAAATTGTAGAAATAATACATAAATTATAGAAAAATATAAAGAATGCACAAAAAACAACAGAAATTACAGAAAAATATTTAAAAAACATTGAAAAACTAAAATTATAGAAAAATAACAGAAATTTCTGGAAAATATGACAAAATTATACAAACACAAAAAACTGAAGATAAATAACAGAAATTAAAAAAAAAACATTATAAAGTAGAGATTACAAAAAAATAATAACAGGAATTGTGCAAGAACATATAAAAAATTAGAGAAAAACATAAAAAATGTAAAAAACAACAGAAATTGAGTGATTTAAAAAAAAAAACATAGAAAATGAAAAATCTCAGTGGTGTCATTGATGATGGTGGTATTGATTATCGACTCCTCTACTACTTGCAATCAACATGTGCGACCTGAATCAAGCAAAGATCAACGTTTTGGTGTTGCCATGTCAAGTTCTTCAAACAGAGACAAAATCAACAATGAGGATTAGATTTTCTGCTTCTACCGCAACTGACCGATGTGGTTGAACTATGCTGCTTTGATGTGCTCTTTGATGGCAACTTCGCAAGTTTGATTCAATCGCCTCTACTCTATTTGATTGGAAAGAGGTCGGTTGAGTGATGAAGAAAATAGAGAGGCGGAAGGGATGTAAGTAGGCGTGATCATGGGCCGGGCCGAGCTGGGCTTAGCACCAATGATAAGGACTTTATGCTAGGCCCGGTCCGCACCCCAGGCCTAGATTGCAAGCCCAAGCCCAAGCCCAAGCCCAGCCCTACACGGACCCATTCCAGGCATACAGGCTTTCCGGGCCTAATTGTTAATGGCTTTGGGCCCATGACATCAAATAAATGAAGTTTTAATTATTTAATTTTTTTTAAACTAAATAACATGTAAATGTAATGCATGCAAAAAATACACAAAGCAAAGTTAAATTGGGCTTTACTAGGCTTTAGGACTATGGTTTGAAAAATAAGGCATGGGCCTCATTTAATTGCTAGGCTTGATTTGGCTTGGGTTACCTATCCTTTTATAGATGAAGGTAAGGCCTTCATTTCCATTCTTGAGCAATGTGGGACCTATAACAACACTAAATAGTTAGTGCAACCATTAAGTGTTTTCCCAAGTCCCACATTGCTTATGGAATGAGAATGAAGGCTTTGCCTTTATCTATAATATAAGGGCTTGCTTAGGAGGACAGTTCTCATACTTGAATTGATTCAAGTGTTGACACATGTGTTGACACGTTTCAATTCATAAATATTTATTTATATGTTAAAATAAAACTATATAAAATACAATACATATATTATAATATATAAAAAAAAGTATATTGCAGGCCGGACCTAGGTCGGGCTTGAAGTATTAGGCCCAAGCCTGGCCCTGAATTTTCTGGGTTTGATGCGGGCCCAGGCTCGAGCTGGGTCTGCACACAAAATTTGGGTCCAAGCCTGAAAATTTGCAGGCTAGGCCAGGCCAAGAATGATCACCCCTAGATGTAAGAGAGAGGTGAAGAGAAATGAAAAGAAGAGAAAATAGAGGGTGAGAAAGAAAAAGGGGTGGCACTTAGCTATTTGCTTTAATTCTTTTGGGCTAGAAAGAGAGAATACAAATCAAAAAGAATTTCATTCTTTTTTAATTTCCAAGGTTACCTATACCATTAAAGTTTTCTTTCTTAGGTTACCCAACCCGCTAATGACTCAGATTAAATGCATACAACCCAACCTATCAATTAATGGTTGGGTTGGGTGGGTTAACGGGTTCGGTTGATAAATTGCCACCCCTAGGCATAATCAAGGGCTCAAGGCATAAATAATTGAGGTGTGGGCCTCAAAGGCTCAAACTAAGCACATTCTTTTTTATTGGTAGGTTTGAAGATTGCAAATATGTAAATTAACCCTGGTTGACATTGTATAATACAGAATAACAGAAACATCAATTAATAGACAAACGCATGCTTACATAACGCACATTTCACCCTCTTTTCCTGTCTAGGCTATCTGGAATGGTCCAATGCCCCCTAAGATTACAACTTTCTGCTGAAAGGTCATGCTTATGCATAAGAAAGTCACCACTTATGGGATCCTTTTGAAGAGGAGGCCTTAACTAATACCTGACGTTGCATATTTGTTTCATGTGTAGGGAAATCTGTGAAAACACTGACCAGCTACCCTTCATTTCTGGTATTTGGCACCGTTACTTTTCTTTGTTCAGTGGCAGGTGGGTCAACCTTGGGGATATTAATATCTTGTTCAGTACCTTTCTTCTATTTTTTGTTGTGTGAGAAGAAATAAATGCAAGAATGTTTAAGTGGAAGATGCAACCAAAAGAAGCCATCATTGAAAGCATCTTTATTATGGTGGCTCATTGGTGAAATCTAGGGATGTCTTCATTCCACTGCTGTTGCTTGTTACTCTTCAACCTTCCTGGCAGTCAGTCCCAAACCCTACTACATTAAAATTAAATGTTGACGGATGCAGTTTTGGTAACCTAGGCATTTCAGATGTTGGTTGTATTTTCAGAAATAGTAACGGACAGATGTCAACACTATATTCAGGACTTGAAGGTTCTGTCAATTCCTTAAGGGAAGGACCATTGGTGGTTTAGCAAGGACTGAAGTTGGCAAAATACTTAAGTTTCAGAAACATGCTGATAGGTCCCTACTCCTACTGGTTTGTTGGTGAGCTGGTTCGAGGGAGCTCGCCCTCCTGAAACAGACAAAGGTAGAAGACGAGAGGAAGAAGAGGGAGAGAGAGAGAGAGAATGAGAGAGAGAGATAACGAGAGAGAATAATGGCTGATTCATTCATGCCTTCTGCGCAATACATGATTGGCCTTTATAATGCATGGCCGTACAACTTATAATATCTCATAACAAACTCTAAGCATGCCTGGCTCTACTCTATACGCGGGCGATGCGTGTACACATAGATAAGTGGGGGAGTGACTCTCGTGAGGTTCTGGGTTTTCGGTTGGGCCCGATGGACCAGAAGAGCTTCGTCTGGAACCTCCTTCTTACTGGGCTTGGGACTTTCCGACTCACTGGGCCTAACAATCCCGCTGTCTTCAAGAACGACCTTGTCCTCAAGGTCGAGTGTAGGGAACTGCTTCTGAAGTTGAGTGTAATCTTCCCACGCGGCGTCTTCCTGAGGCAACCCATGCCATTCTACCAGGGCCTGTTTGATCACCTTCCTTCCCCAGCGAACCCAGCATCTCGGATCTTCGCGGGCTCAAATATCACCTCCCCTAACTCGGTGAAAGGAGGGAGAGTGGGACTAGTAGTATCGGTAGGAGACACACAGGGTTTGAGGAGGTTGACATGGAACACTGGGTGCAATTGGCATTTAGCTAGTAAACAGGCTGACATGGGCCGAAGAATCGAGGGGATAGCTTCTGCAATACCCTCCTCGCCACTGAGCTCTACCGATATGGCTGGAGCCGTAGGTAGAACCAATCTCCCATTGAGAACTCCAATTCTCGGTGCTTCTTGTCATAGGCCAACTTCATGCGCTGTTGGGCCTGCTGTAGATGGAACTTGAGAAGCTACAGTGTAGTATCTCTAGCCTGTAGCTGTGTGTCCACCTTGGCTACCGGCGACGTGCCCTCTCATAAGGCAATATGGAGGGAGGATCGTAATTGTATAGCACCTTAAAAGGGGTGGCGCCGGCTGACACCTGAAAGGTGGTGTTGTACCAATACTCAACC